ATGCACATCACAAATCTCTTCTGCTCATGCACGTGTTCCATTGTCCAATCAGACTTCACTTATAAGGCACAAGTTCAGACGTAAAATTATTAAGAGTTTTAAGACAGTGACAACAGAGCATTCAACCAAGTGTGAGGCCCAGGGTGACTGCACAGGACTCACACCCAAGGAGTCCTGCATGTAAATGGATTTTAGAAACTAGATATTTTTAAATGGTGAAACTCAAATTGCAATCTACTCACAGAACATGAAATGCACCCAAATTTTTCCTTGACCTAAGAAATAATTTTTATCCTTCTTAGCAAGTTTTAGCTTTCGCTTCTAACGACCACTTCGTAAGATCATTATCCAAAAATGTTGGGCCGCCCTATTTTAGCAGAATTGAAAATTCAGCCTTTGATTCGGTGAGTTCATTCAGTTCCCTAAGCTTCCTTTGAGAGGATTAATCAGGCAGTGTGAGGGGAGAGTTCACCACTCCATTAGTTTTAGAATTTTCACTCAGCTGAAAAACTGGATTGAAAAGCTAGAAGAAAAAAATCACGCGAGCCCGACGAAAGGATGTGTCTAGGCAGTTGGGTGTACGTGAGATGGTGAAACACTCAACTCTGTGGATGTTATGGAGCCGATGAGGTTGGTATCTGGGAGAGAGACTCTCTGATAGTCGGGTTGACCTCTGAGGACTAAGACCATCCGTTGCTCCTCCTGCCTCTTGGGGCAGCGCCCTGTGTCACACAGGCCCACCTAATGACATACCCAGAGCGCCAGGAAAGACAGAGAGGCCAGACAAAAGGGCAGGGAAGCAGGACTTCAGAGTCCACCTTGTAAACTTCTTCAGTAGCCCTGAACCTTCAATTCACAATGGCCGCTTTCGAGCACAGCGTTCCTTCTGGCCTTGGGCACGCCTGTGGGTCGTAGGTGTGCAGGCGCTGGGGGTCACAGCAGCAGGTGTGTGTGCTGCTGTTGTTTTCAGCACAGATTATTTACTAGGTGTCCCTAAGGCTCCATAGACCACTGTAATTACATTCCCTAGAAATCTGTTTCTTCCTTGCTTCAGTTAGCCTGTCTAATCCTGAAGGATGTGCAAATCCAGTATCACAGAAGCAAGATAAAGGGAAGTCTCAAAATAAGGGCCTCTCCTCATAGAGATGTGTCATGATTATCACAGGGGAAAGGAGACCTTTCCAGTTTTCTTGTTTGAGGGCCAAGACATTATTTATAAAATGAATATATGCTTCTTATAAAAATGCAAGCGTATACAACAGAATGAAATAAAAATAGATTCTTCTTAGCCCAGCCACACTTATCCCTCAGAGGCGAGCGTTGTTAACTGCAGTTTTCCTTTTGCGCACGAGCGGGCTCATACTTTGCCAGTTCTGCAACTTTTTGACTCACGAGCAGAACACCATGGCATTACGGCTCACCTCGCTCCTCTTAGTGACTGCATAGCCTTCCATTATGTAAACGCAATTTAAGTCATTTGTCCGTTTCTTCCGGGATAAAAAGTTAACTGCTGCAATGAACATCCTTGACCTCTGTCACTGAGGTCAAGGTTCATTTTTATGAATGAGTTGATAACCTCTTAGGATCGAGTTGATCTCTATGCCATTTGGTCCAAAGGTTTCTACCTAACAGTATGGATCACTGCCATGTCAGTTCATTAGTAAACATGGGTTAAGAGCCTTTGCTGAGTGTAAGGAAAGGTTAATGGTAATAACTACCACATTAAAACAACCAGATACCTTATTAGAGGTTTCAGTGTGCTATCCTCTGACAGCCCCCTCTGTGCAGAGACCAAGAAGGCCTTGGGCAAGATGTAAGAGTCAGGGCTGGGATCTGAACCCCTATGCATCTAACGCCAACGCTCATGTGAAGGAGAGCCTCCTCCTGTGCTTTTCAGTCCTCACCACTGTGTGTCTGTTTCCTCCTTCTCACACTGTGGGCGCCAGTAGCAGCTGATCAATGCGCAGATGACTGGGGTGCCCTTGAGGACATCGCAGTTTGGTTGAGGAGCTTGTAAAATCCATAGTCTTGGAAGCATAGAGCCGGGAGGACCTCAGTAGGCATCGTACCAGCTTTGAACTAGGTTCATAGTCACAGAAAAGGAAAGTCATGGAACCACCTACTGACCTAGCAGGATATAGAATTCTTTCTGCTAAACTGACAAGACAGCGATTATTTAGAAAATGGTAAAACAAAGCATGAAATCAGTGCAGAATTGATTAGAAATGGCACAATGGGATAATCTGAAGGAGAAGAGGATATTTCAGGAAAGGTTGGTATACGTGTGGGAAAGAGAATTGAGCCAGCTTTTGACTGCTCTGAAAGAAGATTGGAATGATAGAAGCACAGCTTATGGGGTAACTGCAAGGACCTTTAGAATTCACCAGGTCATGATAAGGAGGTGAAATCAGCAACCATAACCACTGTCATTTGTCAAGCACTTACTGTATACCAGGTACCACGCTGAGTGCTTGACATACAGTCTCTGTCTTAATCCTCACTATTAATTACCCTGCAAGGTAGGTATTATTATCCTCATTTTTCAGACAAGGAAACTGAGTCACAGAAAGGTTAAGTAACTTTCTCAAGGTAATATTAGACTTTCATGAGCTAGAATCTGCTACATCTGCTCTCTGTAGAAGTAATGGCTCCAGAGGCTAATGATTCTCACCATATTTAAGACCCATGAAAGATTATTAAAATGGAGTCCAGTGGGTATTCTACCAAGTTTGCTTCTCAGATATGATCCATGAATAAATGCATTGTCTAATAACACGAAGAGTGGTTACTTTAAATATCTCATCAAAGCATTTGTTTTTTGTTAAAAATAATTCTGTGCCTGTACGTTAGGGGTTAATAGCGTGAGCTCTAAGCTAAACCATCAGCTTCTACTGCACCACCCATACTGTGAGATCTTGGAAAACTTAATCTCTCTGCGCCTAAATCTTCTCTTCTAAATGGGGATAATAAAAGAACTAACATCATAGGGTAGTTGTGATGGTTAAAATGAAATCAGATAACCACTGCAAAGCACAAGAAGATCTGGAAAATAACGTTCAAGTAATACATTGGCTGTTATTTTAACAAAGCAACTTTCCCTTAGCTCACTAAATAGACAAGACTAGCAAAAGCCTCTGGGTAGTTTCATCCTTCAGGGAGGGAGTCAAACAGCACAAGCCCAGAGGGAGTAAAACTGAGGCAGACACTGGAACTTGATCATTCTGGAATTCAGTGCAATGCTTGCCTTTGGATGGGGGTTTACTTGCTGTGAGGACCCGTTTTTACAACCCTGAGAGTGAATGCCTTCTTAGAATTCTCACCCTCAGGCACCTCTAGTCCCAGCCCTCCCCAGCAGGCTGGAACAGGTAATTCCTTTAGAAAAGCTCCAGACTAATTCAGGGCTGCTTCATCTTTGTGCTTCATGTGTCCAAATAGAAAATCTCAAATCTAAATTCTAAAGCTCAAATCAAAGCTTTTGAAAAAGTGTTTCCCCTGCCTCCATCCTTCGACTTGTTGTTTCCTGAAGTGATTCCCTGGACTCAGCACACCTGGATGGATGCTCTCATCTCTCAGAGAGCAGAATTGCTCCCAGGTGGCTCCCTCTAAGCACTTCTATTCAAGTTCAGGCAGTCACAGAGCTAATCATGCTGCCGGGAATGAAGATTTACAGTAGTACTGAATTACGCCTTGTCTCCGGGGTCTGCTGGCCCTTTTCCGACGGCACTTTGTGATCTCTCCAGCTCATTTTAACTTTATTCATTTTCTCAGACAACTTATCCACTGCAGTTTATATAAAATCGGTTGTCATTCTTTATTTGCTTTTACCTTTCTCCTTTAAGTTTTAAACAGATGCTTTAGAAATTGTCTCAAGTTCCTCCAGAGTTTCAGTGTTTGAGTTTTACTCTAAGTTATATTTGTGTAAGTTGTACACTTTTGTTTCTTTACCACATGGACCATTGCATCCTTGAGCAGCCCTACCTAGAGCTGTGCACGTTGGCCTTGCATTTGGGGCCCATCCACACTGAGGTGGGTCCAAGGCAAACGGCCTTACGGGTGGTCTCATTGAGCCCTCAGCTGGTCACACCACCAAGAAACTAACAGCCCTTCCCCCAGTAAACAGACCCAGAAGAGACCCCAAAAGGATTTTTCTGAAGAGGATACTCTCAAATTTTTCACTTAAAGAGAAGACGACGTAACATTCAAAGAAAATTAACTATTTGAATTCTTATCATATACAGATATTACCTATTAAAATTTTTAGGACAATTTGTTTTAAAAGTTACCTCTTTTTCTGGTTATTCGAAGTACCTACGTATAGATACACATTTTATTAAGTAAATCTTTAGAACGATTCTGTGCAGGAGATCACTTACCTGGGAACAGAAAATTGAACCTTAGAATGGATTCAGTGCAGGACCCAGCATGATGGGATGGACCACTATGATAAGCAAGGTGGCTTCTGCTTTAGCAAAACAGCAGATCTTTTGTTTCTTTGTGGTTGTAAACCTATGTCCAAGGACTTCTTGGACTTGAGAACAAGGGAGAATATTTGTTGGGGGTGGTTTATGATAGTAGCAGTGGTGTTAGTAATGAGCTGGCCCCATGGGAGCATCTCCCCTGGTGGTCTGCTTACTTTGCTGCAAAATACCAGGCAAACATGATGCTTGTCTGGAGTCCTGCATCACTGGTTGCTATGACTTATTTTCTAGGTTAACCCCAGATGCTCACTGCCCTATTTTTATAAGCACAGTTCAACATGGGATTGAAAGGTCTCATCATTTGTAACAAAAGGCGTAGCATTTTAAAGCAATCTTCCCAGTTTAATTTGTTGTAAAACGCTTTAAAAGAAAGAAGCCTGCATTACAGCATGTGTCACAGAAAGGGAGAAGATGGGACTCTCCAGATGAATGACACTTGGGGATTCATACATACAAAATCCTGGGGGAAGGGTGCTGAGCAAGAAAGCTAACTTGCAAGGATTTTTCTCTTTTTCACTTCAGCACGTCCATGTGAGCTCTACTGCCGACCCATAGATGGCCAGTTTTCCGAGAAAATGCTGGATGCTGTCACTGATGGTACCCCTTGCTTTGAAGGCGGCAACAGCAGAAATGTCTGTATTAATGGCATATGTAAGGTATTGGGTATGTTTCCTTAATCTACAACTTTATAAAACCATGATCTTTATTAATTCGGGAAGTCAGATGTGCTAATCTTTTGCTTTCACGGTATTTGCATGTGGTCTGGTATTTTTATATGGTCTGTGAGACAAGACTTTTCAGTGTTCATCAAAATCACAGTTAGGAGCTGAATGTCCTCCTGCTGTCGTCTTCGTTTCTTGATCTGTTGATGTGCTCTGTGATATTATTTTAGGCATGAAGCTGGGTCAAGTTGAAGAAGAACCAAATTAAAGGAGGAATTACTAGGAAAAGGCAACTCGGATTATTTCAGTGATATTGAATTGTTTGTTGGTTGCTTGCCAACAGAGTTAGTTAAATTCGAGGAAAAACTGAAATTAATAATTGTATAGTGTTTTTCACAGAGCATTTTGACATTTCATTCTCCATTGATCACCAACATGAGCTCCTTAGGAAGAGAGATGGCATGGCAGGTAGTTATAAACCAGGTCTTCTGATTTCGATTTAACTTTTTCACATTGACTCCATTAAAAAATTCTGCCTAGGGCTTCCCTGGTGGCGCAGTGGTTGAGAGTCTGCCTGCCGATGCAGGGGACATGGGTTCGTGCCCGGGTCCGGGAAGATCCCACATGCCGCGGAGCGGCTGGGCCCGTGAGCCATGGCCGCTGAGCCTGCGCGTCCGGAGCCTGTGCTCCGCAACGGGAGAGGCCACAGCAGTGAGAGGCCCACGTACCGCAAAAAAAAAAAAAAAAAAAAAAAAAATTCTGCCTTTATATAAAGTACTTAGATCTGATTTTTAAATGCTTTTATGTGTACAAACATTGAAGAATTTATCCCCATTGCTCACAGTCTGCTTTGCAAGAAACTGATGAACAAGTTTTGTGATCCAACACTCAGGCATAAATCTCAGTTTAAAGAGAAGGTGTTTTTAATCAGTGGAAAAAGAAACTACATAAAAATACTCAATTAACTATTAGTAAAGCATAATGGCTTAGTGCTCAGGCTCTAGAATATGAACCCAATACCACTATTTCCTAGCTGGATAACTCTATACATCTTTCTAAGACTCAGTTATCTTTCATAAAATTGAGATATTAACATTTTAGATTAAATAAGGTCATATAGGTTAAGCCCTTAACAGAGCCCCTGGCACACAATAAACTCTTAATATATTTTATTTGTTTTTGCAAATAATTATCACAATTTTTTCCACTGGACCGAATTGTTGCCATGAAAAGCTCCTGCCCATAAACTGTTAGCACGCTGGGAAGGTGAATTTATCACCTTGCAGTTACTGATGGACTTATTCCAGTAGCGACCAAGGCACAGGAGGCAACATGATGATTCCCCGGACTGAGTGAGCTAACAACAAGCCATAATCAGACTCTAAATTGGAAAGGGCTCAGGCAGAATTCTCTTCCTGACACGCTAATTACCACTGTAGCTACAAAGAGCCAAAAATAATTAATATATTTTAGGTTAGACCTGTTCCCTAGAGCAGGAAAAAGTTTATTTAGCCCCATTGCCATTTAATACAGTGGTTCTCAGGCCTGGCTGCCTATTAGAATCAGCTGGAAAGCTTTTTTTGCAGTACGCGGGCCTCTCACTGTTGTGGCCCCTCCCGTTGCAGAGCACAGGCTCCATACGCGCAGGCTCAGCGGCCATGGCTCACGGGCCCAGCCGCTCCGCGGCATGTGGGATCTTCCCGGACCGGGGCACGAACCCGCGTCCTCCGTATCGGCAGGTGGACCCTCAACCACTGCACCACCATGGAAGCCCTGGAAAGCTTTTAAAACCTACTGATGCCTGGCTCTATCTCCACCCTATTAATTCAGAATAGATGTGATTTGGTCCTGAGCATTGGTATTTCTAAAACTCCTCAGGTGATTGCCATATGCTGCTAGGGCTGAGAACTTTAGTCATCAAAAAATCAATGTGATGCTAAAATTATCTTTTAGACCTAAATACCTTTGCATGCATAGAGACAGTATCTTTAGCTTGTGATGGAAAAAACAGATATTTTGAACAAAACATAAGGGGTCTTGGGTATCTCTCTTGAAACCAGTTAAATCAGCTTAATAGAATAAGCCAAATTCTCTCAGCTTGCCTTTTTCTTTCTGGAAACCAGTTAAGGCCTTTTAGAAGCTTTAATTACTTTCTGTCTACACCACACTGAGTTAAGTTTTTAAGCAGAAAAAAATATGTCAAATCAAGTTTACCTTAATAGCCTAAATACAGTTTATCTTTTAAAGATCCAGATTGTAGTTATTTTCAGCTTTTGTTAGTCTTCTTATTCATTTACCACAGTTTTTTCAAAGGGAATTGAACGTGTATTGAAATAAAAAGTTACACCATCAGAAAAAGATATATATGTGCCTAATTCATCTTCTTTGTGGATATGAAAATATTTGCTTATATTCATATAAATACTTGTATTTGCTTATACTCATATACTTAGCTGTCTATTTGGAAATTATGATACTTGCCAACATTTTGGCATCTTAGATTTGTAGATTTTGTTATCGAGGAAATTATCGAACGTTGATCAGAACTGAATTTGTTTTAGGAAGTATCTGTCTGTGCCCCTCCCCCAATTTTTTAACTGGTACTGAACCCCTAAGCTGCTTTTTTCTATTTATTGAATTTTTTTCTACTATTTCGTTTATTAACTGCATCTACACAAGGCCAAGGTTTTTAAGTAAAGTGGTATTTACAGTTAAATTATTTTCTCCTTTCCTTTTTTAATCACAAGTACAACATGCGGTAAGCTTTTAAATATATGAGCAGATATTCCCACCCCTCTTCCACCTGTCCCAGCTCTGCAGTCTTACCTGCTGTCTTAAGACAGGCTGCTAACCATCCAACTTGCTCACGCCTTTCTCTTGGTAACCAGTTCTTTGACTTTCAGTTCCTTCACTCGTCCCTTTTCTCCCAGGCAGCAAAGCTTTGGCTTCATTGCTTCCCCAAGCAGCCTGGATGCCCTGAACTTGCACATCAGCCATCCCCTAGATTTCTCCTCTCAGCCTTCCATCAACCTCTTTTCCCAGGACCCTGATTCTGACCAACCCAACCACATTGATTTTTTTGTTCTGACAAGCAGTCTACTATACACTTCTTAAAATAATAATTCAACTTTATGAATTTATGCCCTTACAAAGTCAGTGTCTTCAACCCCAGCTGAGTCCTTAACCTTACTCAACAATCTTCCTACCTGCCCTAAGTTAGCTCCCCTTCTCGTTGCTCTCAGAAACTCTCCTGAACCTTCTTTGTTCTCTCTCAAGGCCATTTTGGCCATCTCAGTGATTGACTGAACACCCCAGAATCAATTTCTCTGGGCCAGATGTCTTTCTAGAAGGCCACATCCTATCTCTTGGCCCTTAAAATTATGGTGAGGAAAGCATTATTGCTGCTGTCCCATTTATTAAAGGACAATATCATTTACCTGTTCTCAGTTAAACATAACTGGCATTATCTTCACACTAAAGTTTCATTAGCTGGGACTGAATCTCCTCTTGGAATCAGGCATCTTTCCAGTCTCTACCTTTGCCAACAGACTGTAGAAAGAAATGACGACATTCTAAGTGGCTTAGGTCAAGGCGCCAGTTGGTATTTCAGTCCTCAGTTACTTGAGAATTTACTAAGTAAAACAGTAAAACTCATAAAGAAGAAATGAGAATTGGTAAGAATACGTATTACTCATTCACTCACGTAGGGCTGAAAGCCTAGTGAAAGACTGGGACCTGACTTCTCTAAGTAATACTCAAGATAGGATGCTCTTCAGTTCAAATGACAGGGTCAAGAATTGATGATACACTTCTGCATGGGAAAGGAAACAGTCATCGGAATAAAGAGGCAACCTACAGAATGGGGGACAATATTTGCAGACCATATATACAATAAGGGGTTAATATCTAAAATGTATGAGAAACTCCTACAGCTCAACAGCAGAAATACAAATAACCTGATTTAAAAAATGAGCCAAGGACTTGAATAGACGTTTCTCCAAAGAAGATATACAGATGGCCAACAGGTATATGAAAAGGCGCTCAACATCATTAAACATAGAGAAATACAAGTGAAACTCATGAGATATCACCTCATACCTGTTAGGATGGCCATCACCAAAACACAAAAGATAACAAGTATTGGTGTGGATGTGGAGAAATTGAAAACCTGTGCACTGTTGGTGGGAATGTACAATGGTGCAGCCACTATGGAAAAGAGTATGGAGATTCCTCAAAAAAATAAAAATATTTATTTTAATTAAATTAAAATATTTATTTTTTAATTAAATTTAAAATATTTAATTTTTACCCTATGGCCCAGCAATGTCAGTTCTGGGGTATGTATCCAAGAGAATGAAATCAGGATCTTGAAGTGACATCTGTACGCCCGTGTCCATAACAACATTATTCACTAGCCAAGATACGGATGGAAACAATCCAGATGTTCATCAACAAGTGGATAAAGAAAATGTGGTATATACATACCATAGAATATTGCTCAACTTTAAAAAAGAAGGAAATCTTGACATTTTGACAACATGGGTGAGCCTGGAGAACGTTATGTTAAGTGAAACAAGTCAGTCGCAGAAGGATAAATGCTACAGGATCCCACTTATATGAGAATCTAAAATAGTCTAACTCATCGAGGCAGAGAAGAGGATGGTAGTTGTCAAGGGAACAGTGGAGAGTTGCTGTTCAACGGGTATAAAGTTTCATTTACGCAAGATGAATGAGTCCTAGAGCTCTGCTGTACAACGCATTGCCTGTGGTTAACAACAGTATATTGTGCCCTTAAAATTTTGTGGCAAGGGTAGGTCTCATGGTAAGTGTTCTTACCACACACATACACAAAAGGGACACAAGGAAACTTTTGGAGCTGATAGATATGTCTATTGTCTTGATTGTGGCAATGGTTTCACAGGTGTTTGTATGAGTCCAAACTCATCAAATTATAAAATTAAATATGTGTAGTATTTTATATATCAGCTACACCCCCAAGAAAGCTGTTTTTTAAAGAAAGAAATAATGATAGGAAATTAAAGGGATTTTCTTTTTTTAAAAAGAAATGCAGCCTGTTGGGAGGCTATCTGGCTGCCTTAGAGGCGCATCGGAGGAGAGCCATACTGGATCAGAGCCCCTCTGATCCGGCTGAAGGCAGAAAGACAGTATTGCTGTGGCCCTGTTGCCAGAGCACAGGACGTGGAAGAGAGGAATGTCTGTTCATTTTCCCCTGAGAGCCTTACATTTTATGTATAGCAAGGAGGACGGGCTTCTGCCGCCTTCGGTTATGTACTCAGTTTGGTATTGAGTGTGCTGTGCACAACTGATGGAGGAACAGAAGGGTGAAGTCTCCACAAGAACCACACACTATACTGTGGGCCAGCCTACTGAGGTGTGTGTGTTTCCCTCCCCGCCCCTGCCCCCCAGGGATGCAGGCAAATATTGATGGAGGAGAAAGATGGGCTCAAGGTATTTGTTTTTCTGTCTTTCTTTCCTTTTTCCTTCACATGTTTTATCCATCCCCTCCTGGTAGAGATTGTTTTTAAACACTTCAGTATGTTGCAAAGTATGTTTCCCTGGCTGGTTCCAAATCAGTGAAGGAATGATGGTCACTGAGAATAGGATTTGTAAAGGTCACCTTATTAGAGGATGCTCAAGCTTGATGTAAACATATCACTTGTGACGGGTTGACATTTTGCTTATAACCAGTGAAGGCACACATCCAGACAATTTCTTTCTTTTCCATTGTGATTAGTGTTGTTTAGTTTTTTTTAATCTCTTAGCAGTTTATTTTTCCCAACTGGGTCAAGTAGCACCGTCTTTGGATCTAAAGGAAGTTAGACATGGTTAACCTGAGTAAAGGCGCTATTTTTGTCTGTGGGCCTTAATTCTCTGTTTAGAATTAAGGTGGAGGGAGGGTGTATTTAAAGACCTAAATGGTTCTTCCTTTCAGTCGATCTGAGGTGGCTTTAAAATAAGAAAGGAAATTATCTTTGAGAGAGAAAAAACTACCTGGGCACAACTCTTCTTCCCAAACAGAAAAGAAAAATCCAATTAATATAAAATGGTGTAGGGACTTTGCTGGTAGTACAGTGGTTAAGGATCCACCTGCCAATGCAGGGGACACAAGTTCGAGCCCTGGTCTGGAAAGATCCCACATGCCGCAGAGCAACTAAGCCCGTGTGGCACAACTACTGAGCCTGAACTCTAGAGCCCGTGATCCACAACTGCTGAGCCCACACGCCACAACTACTGAAGCCCACGCGCCTAGAGCCCGTGCTTCGCAACAAGAGAAGCCACCACAGTGAAAAGCCCGCACACTGCAAAGGAGAGTAGCTCCTGCTTGCCGCAACTAGAGAAAGCCTCCACGCAGCAACGAAGACCCAACACAGCCATAAATAAATAAATACATAAATAGATAAATAGAAATTTTAAAAAATATATAATATGGTGTAGTCTTTCCTCTTTATTCTACCACTGAAATGTGGTTAAGGAATATAGGCCGTAGAAGAGAGCAAGGAACAAAAGACTTCAGTGGATGTTCACGTGTTTTCCATGACTTTCCATCTGAGCGTTAACGATTCTCTGGTATTTGATGCTACCAAACACCCCAAGTTTAATTACTCTCCTTTTCCAGAATGGGAATTGGATGGGAAAGGCTTGGCCATATTGGGGGGTGGAGGAGAAGGAACCAGTGGAGAGGGAAGGATGATGACTTGGGAGGACCAATGGACAGAACACGGAGAAGTGGTCAGGTCCAGAGCGCAAGAACATGATTAGGCCTGGCTCAGGGGAGAAATGAGCGGTTCCTCCTCTGCAGCTGGAGGGAAGGAGGTCAGCATGGCTGGGATACGGCTACATGTGACAGGCGGTGGGCTGGGGTCATAGGAGGCTCCAAAGCACCTGCTGATGGGCCTGCAGATCTGAGATCTCATCCCTCACGGGACTGGAATGGTCTCAGCATGAAGCCAGGTTTTCCCCCAGGGCTGCCAGTTCAGACAGGAACCAGAGAGAATATCCCCAGTGAGGAATGTAAAGGGAATGAACGACTAAGTATAGGTGGAGTCATTCCGTCATCCCTGGGAATCTCATTAGAGAGGAGGGGACATGAGGTTTGCACATCTGAAAGGGATTTTGCTGCTCCACCGACAATGATTCCAAGACATTTTCATGGTTCCACTTTTGGAAGTGTGTTCAATTCTGCTTCTCACTCAGGGAAAATTGCAGATGCATTCAGTGTGTACCTCTTTCCCCTCAAAGCAAGTATTTCCTTTAGCATCAGTGGGTGCTTTGGGTATTCTTCTGGCCACCACCAGGAAGAGGAAACATTTATCTTGTATCTGCCCCCGCCACAGTCTCATCCAGAGCAAAGTGGGGGGAAGGAGGAGTCAAAAGTCCAGGGTAGGTGTGGCCTCTCCCGCCTGAGTCATTCGTCCTCAACCTCTCTTCCCCGCAGATGGTCGGCTGTGACTATGAGATCGATTCCAACGCCACGGAGGATCGCTGTGGTGTGTGCCTTGGGGATGGCTCAGCCTGTCAGACCGTGAAGAAGGTGTTTCAACAGAAAGAAGGATCTGGTAATAAACACATAAATAATTGAGGTGGCAGGGGACTGAGAATGAAGGTCAAGATGGAGTGTTACTCTTTTTAAGCAGATTGTGACTTTCACAGAATTCAAAATGGGTATAGCCTTCACTACAAAGAGATAAAGGTTCCTTGGCAGTTTTAGGAAAGGGGTTGAATGCTAAGCAATTACAGGAAGCATCACGTTGCACTAGGGATCTAAGATGGCTTAGTGGCTGTGCACAGGACCAGGTTTAAGAGTGTGGTCCGGGCTTCCCTGGTGGCGCAGTGGTTGAGAGTCAGCCTGCCGATGCAGGGGACACGGGTTCGTGTCCCGGTCCGGGAAGATCCCACGTGCCGCAGAGCGGCTGGGCCCATGAGCCATGGCCGCTGAGCCTGCGCATCCAGAGCCTGTGCTCTGCAACGGAAGAGGCCACAACAGTGAGAGGCCCACGTACCGCAAAAAAAAAAAAAAAGTGTGATCGCTGGAGAGGATCCAGGGCTGAAGGCCAATGGACCGAGACCTGGGGGAGAGAAGGGATGAAGAGCTGGCTGAGGAGGGTGCAGACCTAGGAGCAGGTTCTGTAACTGAGGGCAGAGAAGCCAACAGTGGGTTTAAAGGCAGAAGAGTTGGGGTGTAGCTTCAGGACCAGAGGAGAGGCGAGGCAGGGTTGCTTCAATTTGCTCTTATTCCCAGTTCCTCCCTGTAAGGGAGTCCCAGCCAGTGGTGCCTTAAGGCTCTCCAGGTGGCTTCTCCCACCTAACATGCCCTCCTTACTCACATCGCACTATTCCTTTCCCATGATTACCTTTTTCGAGGTTTCTTCCTTGTGCATCTTTGGGCTGTTGATAATCCTCGGGGCATGGAGAGCCCATCTTCATCCCAAATCAGCTGTGACCCCGCAGACTGTCTTCAGTAAAGACAGTTCCCATGATCCCTTGGCACCAGCAGTTGCTGAAGGCATCTTGGGAGGAGGCTAAGTTAGGCCTGGAGATGATGAAGACAACTGAGAGCATCTTACTTTAGTCTCCCTCGTCCCCTCCTCCCCAAGAGATACCCTGAGACAAGAATTCAGGTACCATTAGTTTGTATGGAGGTCGGAGAAACCTGGGAAACACCAGTAGGGCATTGGAGGCAGTGAAACAGAGAAAGGGAGGCAGCCAGAAAGGGAGTGTCATTAAGCCAGTTATTATATAGGAGCCAGTGTAGAAGTTATGCTTCCAAAGTTTTTCCGCCCAGGAGGGAAGGCGTTGAGAATACACACCAGCTCCCACTAGCCATTGCTTCACGCTGCTTTGGGGAGGTGGGGGGATCTGGTTGTTAATTCTCTAAATTCCAAGGAATGGAGGTACTGGAAATAGGGTGGCCAGGGGGCACCACCCAGGTAGAGCCAGAGGGGATGGGGCAGTATCCCACACTGGGGCTGGGGTGATGCCTAGGGTGGAAGTCAGATATAGTGGGGCACCTCCCTTCTAGACTTGCTTAACACCCGGGATGAAGTTACTGAGTATGCCCCTGAGTATCAGGTGTGGTCATTAAATGACCTATTTTTCCCTAGCACACATCACCAAAATTTGGACTTAATCCATTGACTTCCTAAAACTACCACTCTAGACTCCTCTGGCCTTAATTGGCTTCTCTAGACCTCACCAATGCCAGGCCCTCTGACCACTGAATCAAGTCCTGGTCTTATTCACACTGGCCTGCTTTGTTTTGATGCTGGGAACAAGAGACCACATTCTCTGAGCATTCTGGGACTCTCCTACGACTAATTGTGTCACTTAACTCAGTGCCCAAACCACCAGCCTTGATTCCTACCTCTTTTATTTAATCATAACCAGAATGTGCACAACTTTTGTTTGAAATCTTTTTATGGAACTAGAACAGTTACCATATAAAATTCACCTTTAATTTTATATTTTAAATGATACGTTTGTATATCTATTGAGTAGATTTGATGCACATAGTAATTTTTACATTTTTATATCTATTGAGTAGATTTGATGCACATAGTAATTTTAAGTCTTTTGGCACAAGAAGTTAATTTAATTTCCACTGTCTGATATATCTCACGTACAATTTTTCACTTTTACAATTCAGCATGTTGAAAAAAAAAGTCTATAATCTAAAAAGCAGAGGAAAGACACAATGTCCCTGTTTTTCAACTCTTGCTGCCAGTATCCATATCTTTAGAATAGGAGATCCCTGAAATGGAGTAAAAGCAGCAGCTGCCTGGAATTATGTGTGTACCTGACCACCTGGATCCCATCTACTTATTGATTCTGTGTGTTTATGTGCTTAGTTCTTCCGGCTGTAGCTCCCTAGACTCTGCCACTGATCTTTATGGTCAAAAGATTAAATTCATATAGAGTTAGGAATTGACAACAATTACAAATTATGCTAAAATTACCATCTTAATCCCATAATGAGGCATGTTCTGGACTTTTGCTTGCGGCTCCCTAGGCTCTGTGACAAAATGAAAATGATCATGAACGAATGGAATCCATTAAGAACACTCACAGCACAGGTTGGAGGGCTGTGGCCGCAGTGTGGGTGTAGGGTCTATACAAGTCTGGGCGGTGGGACATGAGACCCTTTTAGGAAGAAATGATACGACTTCATGACTCAGAGTTGCTCCTAGGCTGTTCCGTAAGGTTCAATTCCTTTGCTGTAGATTCAAGAGAAAATAGGGACCTTTCTAAGATTTTAGGGAGGGTGAATGACCTGAGGAGGTCAGTGTCATAGAAAGACTAGTTTGCCAGCAACATACAAAGTTGCCCAGAATAGGAGAGCCCAGTGCTGGGAACCCAAACATTAACCCAGGTTCAGGAGATAAGGGCCTGGACTAAAGAAGTTCATGTAAAGGGGATGAGAATCATATAAGAAAACATTCCAGAGACAGAATCAGAGGCAGAAGGTAGGACATAATGATAAGAGAGGACATGGCTTTCTTGAAACCATGTTTACCAAAATACCACCTTACTTGGAGACTGTCCTATGTCATGCGTCCAGGAAACCTTGAGTTGGAAGGGGTAGGGAGAGTGACTGGACACTTTACACGGGAGTTTTCCCATCAAAAGAGCTGAAAGACCTCCAGGGCTCAGGGCTGTGAGGAAGCATTTAGGGTCAGGAAGCCCCTGTCGGTGTCTATTCCCTCTGCTATGTCTCCACTAGTTTCCAGCAAGAGGATTATGGTTGCTCACAATGTGTTCCAAGACTCCAGACCCCTTACAACCCTCTTTTGAAATAATTTTGAGGCTAAAACTCCAAATCCAGGGCAGTTTAATTCTCAGTACATCTGCCTGGCGAATGTATCTGTACGTAGCTCTTCCTCACTGTGATTTGTGAGCAGGTCAAATGCAGTTTTGGGTCTGAACCAGACAGCAATGTGTCACTGCTGTCAAGCCAGGCTTCAGAAGATGGATCTGTCTTTCCCAGGAGCCCCCTCACAGAAACCATGGCATCTTGGCCTGCAGTGAGGCTTGTCTTGCTTGCCACACGGTAGCGGCACAAATCGTAAAAAAAAAAGACAAGCTGGTAGTTGTAGTTAAATTGCCTGGATTAATAGTATGACCTCTTTATAAACACATTTTTATTTGAAGTGACAGACTAGAAACCAAATATGCCAGTGGGTAAATCCTTTTTTTAGAATAGTTGAATAAGATGCACATTAGCACCAATAATCCATTGTCACTCTTATGATATGTCTTCAGAAGTGAGACCAGTCTTCTGCTCCATCCTCAAAGGCCCTGAATATTCTTTTAGCTCAAGGTGTTCAAGACTAAGTAATGGGATGGTTTCTCCAGGTGGTCTCCATGGGCCTAGAGGCTCCTTCTTTGAGGTCAAGATTATGTTTTCCACTCCCCCCAACACTGGTGCAAAAGAATCGTGTTTACTGAGGAAAATGGAAGAAAACTGATTTACTGAATGAATATATTCATCGTTCTTAATACTTTGGAGATATTCTTACCAACCCTGAAAATCTGACCTTGACATAGAATGAATGTCTCAATAACCCTTCACCCCCTAAAACTTTTTAATATGATTCTCATTTCTGTAAAGAAGACCCATGAGGATGAGACATTCAAGGGGATTTTTTTTCATCTCTGTTCTACCAATCACATTTTTTCATTAAAAATGCTGTATTAGGAGTTGGTTAGCAAAGCCTGGTTATAGAGGTGTGTGTGTGTGTGTGTGTGTGTGTGTGTGCGCGCGTGTGCGTGTGTTGTGCGTGTGTGTGTGTGGCCGTGTGATGGCATAGATTTCTTCCTCTCTTGGGAACTCAGTTTCCTCATTTTATAGATAAAGAGATTGATGGTCATTCCCTTCCACCTAAACGTCCATTAACAGTTGGCTTATTAAATAAATGGGTTTATGTCATTTTGGCAGTTGTTGAAATGCTAAAAAAATGTGGAAAGATATGGAAGGTATATTAAATTTAAAAAGCAATAGTTAAAATAGTTCACATAGTATGATCTCACTTGTTTAAAAAAGTATGTGTATGTGTGTTTATACATGCAAAGAAAGGTTTTGGAAGAGAATCCAAGAAACTGTTAACTGTAATTATCTTTGGGACATAGGACTCTGGGTGGAGGGAAATGGAAACTTTTACTTTTCATTTTATACTCCTCTCTATTGTGGGTTATTTTGTCATGTGTAAAGGAGTCTGGTGGCTATGTTATGGTTCTTTTCGACTCCAAACACCACAATTTTATCTTTTGGGTTCCTCTTAGGTATTCTTTTGCAAAAATATATTACAAATATGTATTGCTTTTGCTCATGGCTAAATCTGCCTCCGTTTACATCTTCTTTCTACAAACTGTTCGGAAGCAGCAATTATATTCAATGAAAGCTTTTATTTTAAATTTGATATACTTCGCCTTTTGATAAGACAGAATCTACACAAAATATTTCTAATTTTAGATTTTCTTAAGTGGAAGATAAAAGGCAAACTCTTTTGGGTTTTTTCCTCATCTAGTTCTCACTGTTTTTTGTTTTGGCTTGGTTTTTTGTTTGTTTTTAAACAAGGCATATGGTGGTTGCCATATTCTTTAATGCTAGTTGACTTTATGCGTGAGCTCTGCTATGAGAAGCTCTGCTATGCTGCAGGGGCAATGCTCCAAAGGCATTTTAAACAATTGCATCACCCTCAATTACATGTGATTAAATATTTTCCCTGAGCTAGTTGTAACTTAATAGTTTCAATGAGCTGTCTCAGGCAAGTGTGTGAGGGCCCAGTGGAATTTAATCAAGTACTTCAGGCCCCATACATCACTCCTTTGGATGGGAGCTGCCAGTTCGAAAAAATAGAGCTGAGGTTGTGGCCTGTACCCAGCTTCTGAGTAAATCGTTCCTGCTGGCCAGACGTGGGTTTTAACTCCTAGGATCCCATGCTATGTTAATGTCTGAGGGAAAGAGGGCAGTCAGGGCACTTTTAGGTGACAGAGATGAGGGTGTGTTTGTTAGTCAAAAAAAACCTTAGTGTATATCCAGTGGAAAATGATCGAGGTCTTAAAATCAAGTTTTGTATGGAAAAGGTAAAGGAACAGAGAAAATTTAGCTGGGAGGGATGTCAGACATCATCTCATTCAAGCTCTCATCTCATTCAACGTCCTTCATTGTGCAGATGACATTCAAAGAAGTTAGATAAGTCAATGGACATCATGGAGCTCATTCGTGGCAGTGTAGAAACTAGAATTGGATGCCTGACTCCCATGCCCCAGTACTCCTTGCCCAATGCCAGCCCCAGCGTCTTTCCATTCTATCACAGCTATGAGATGACGGTTCTTTTGAAGCATAAACAGGATGAATGCATAAAGGATTTAGCCTAGAGCCTGGCAAAGAGAGGAAGCCATTATGTGTTCATTCCATTTCTCCCCAGTAGGTCTCCTACCATAACAACCAATAAGCAAGTATAAGACTGTAGCTAGAATTGATCATGGTCTTTAAGTAGATGTCCTCTGTGCTTTTTCAGAATGTTGGATTAGAACACATGAGAACAACATAAGTTTATGTTTCATCAAAACGTAAGAAAAAATGTGAAAAAAACCCTTTCTAATGAATATAATTGTCCAGCAATATAAAAAGCTGTGCTCAGAGCTGAGTTTCTCATCACAAGCTGTATTCAAGAGCGCCAGGTGGCAATCAATCCAAGATTCCCTCCAGAATTCTCTTAATGAATTTAAGCTATGATTAAATTACTTCTAAGAGTCTGTCTTTAATTTTCAGGCAATGAGGGTGAGCAAAAGGATGTAGCCACTGCAATGTTTAGGGAGATTAATCCGATAGCAACAAATGCAGAAGCAGAAATGCTAATGGAAAGCTGGCTAGGGGCTGTAACAGTTTGAACTGTCAACAGAAAATCACAGAAAAATAAATGCTGGATCAACCACAAAAGGTTCAGAGTTCAATCTGCATTTATTTCGCCTCTCCTCTCATGAAACTGATTACGTAATGAGTCACAAGGCTCCTGAGAATTCTACTCATGGCCAAGCTTTTAAAGTTCCCCGTAATTAGTGCATCTGCCAGTCCTAGTAACCACCCAGCAGGAAGACAAGGGCACTAACTGATGGAGATGCTGGGAAGGGGATGGATGATGAGTCAGAAACAGACTGTGTTTGTTCAGCTAAGCTTGCATGCCTCTCTTCTCTCCTTAGGTTATGTTGACATCGGAATAATTCCAAAAGGAGCCAGGGACATACGGGTAATGGAGGTTGAGGGAGCTGGAAACTTTCTGGCCATCAGGAGTGAAGACCCTGAAAAATATTACCTCAATGGAGGATTTATTATCCAGTGGAATGGGAACTACAAGCTGGCAGGGACCGTCTTTCAATACGACAGGAAAGGAGACCTGGAGAAACTGATGGCCACAGGTCCCACCAATGAGTCAGTGTGGATCCAGGTAACGCAGAAGCAAAGGAAACTGCTGATGTGTGCACTAGTTAGGATCTTTCTAATTTTCTTTACCAAGGTGTTTGCTAGGGGATATTCATTAAGAATCCTTAGGGGCTTCCCTGGTGGCGCAGTGGTTGAGAG